TGCTGGCTGGGGAATTCTGGGAGTTGAAGTCCACTCATCTTAAAGTGGCCAAGTTTGGACAACACTGCTTTAACATGACAGAAGGTGAAAGTGTTTGAATACATGAGAGCCAACAGAGCTTTTAATTAATTTTATTGGATTTATGTCAGTTTTCATTCAGCCAAGTTTAGCTTTTGCCCAGGCTCACCCTTTTTTTGAAGCACGTTTCCTTGATATATCACTTAAAGAGCAATGCATTTGTGGAACCAAACATGATTGTGCACCTCTGATTTAAGGATACCAGTGCCCAGAGTAATGCAATATTATAGCAAATTTTCAGTACGGTACATAAAGACTCTCTGGTCACTCTGCCAAGGTTTTTCCTTTAGCATGATCCTTCCACAGCAGGGCCATTGTTCAAACTAGGATTGTTGGTCTGCATCCCTAGTAGCTGATTTGCATGGTTTGCTTAACCAGGTCAATTACCGACCCTACAATTCATTGGGGTTAAGCTTGGTAAGTGGGTTTGCATGTTGTGCAAACCGAGGCCTTTTTGTTAACTTAGGGTTTAGTTGACTATGTAAGTGGAGAAAATGGCATAATCCCATCATTAAGCAAGTGGGAGAAAGGGAGACTGGTTTGCACATCATGCTAAGCCACTTTTTAATCCATGGTTTGTTGGACAAGCCAATCCACAAATAATACTAAGCCAGAATTGGGTAACCCAAAGTCCCAGGAGTATATGGGGCTACACATGAAAGATGGCTTCTGGTAGCTGGTTTTTTTTAAGTGTTTCCATTCTGGTCACAGCACAACTTAACATTGAAAAAATCAGCAGAGCTAGCCTGGTTATGAATAAAATGAGAACATTTCCAAGAAGCTCCTAGAGCAGACGTTCTCTGAGCCTCCAAAATGTTGCTGAACTACAGTTCCCAGCATCCTTCAGTGTCAGCCCTGAAGGGATATAAGTACTGATTTCTCCAGCTCTGTTCTAAAGCTTTACCTTGGTCACCCAGTGCTTCTGGTCTGGATTTGCTTGCTAGCTGGGGGGAAGAAAACAGAAAAGATCAATCATTTGGCCATTCTGATTTTGAATGAAATCATATTTCATATAAACTTCTGGAGACTTACTGATTCTTCTTGTACCGATTCTTGTCTGTGCTACTTCCAGACTGGGGGAAGAAATAAGGAAGTACAGTGTAAGTGGGAAATGGGATTTTAAGTAATATCAACAGTCTGTGCAGCAGACTTCTAACATCTTACCGTGCTCTCTCGCTGCCTCTGGCTTTGGTCTGTAGAGCCACTAGAGGTGGGAGGCTAAAGAGTGGAGAAAGAACAGAGAAAGTAGAAATTTGTGGCCAGTTCTGATTTTGAATAGAATTAATGTATTTCCTACAAGGGTGAGTAAGATATTCAGCTTGGTGGCTGCATGATGACTTTTGGCCTGACTTGAGAAGTGCAGAGGACATGGGCACAGATGTTCTGACATCACTGATATGGACATGGCTGAAAAGGTGGATCCTTTCTTCTATTGTTCAGATGGGCAACAGAGTAAAATCAAGGCTTTAAGCTTTGCAGGGGCTTGTGGTACTCATTTTTCTCATTAGCGGAAAAATGGGCCCTCTTTGAAAGGATGCAATAGGTACCTTATGCTACAGGCAACACATGGGCCAAGGGTTGCCAAGGCCAGTTCTAGACTTACCGCACTCACCCTACGCTTTTTGCCATGCTCCGTTGGGGTTTCAACCTAAAGAATGACAAACAAAGAAGAAAATACGAATCAGGTGATGGTTCTGACTTGGAGGACAATCTAAGAACATCTGTAATTTCAAACTTCCACTGTGAGTTTTTTATGGTGCAAGAACCAAGCTATTTAATCCTGCTTGACAATTACATGATCAAAAGTAATCTTCCCACTAGCCAGAATTAATGTAGCATGGTGAATACTCTGTCACACTGTGTATGGCCTTTCTACATCCAGCCAAGTTCCATGGTGGAACAGGAACTGGACCATAACGCTTTCTAGCAGAACAAGCCTTAGTTTGTCTACCACAAGGGAAACAATCCAGCTTCCATGCAGGTAGCCAAGCCTGCTTTCCAGGAAATTGAACTTGCTGCTAGAAGCAAGCATTCTCCTTCTCCAACGACCAGCAGATGGAAGCTTTACCAAGAGAGATCCAAACTTGAAAGGAGGAGGAATTTCCTGACCATGACAGCTATTGAGCAATGGAACAATCAGCCTCCTAGAGTTGTGGGTGCTCCATCACACTGGAATTTTTCAGAGGTTGGACAGCCATTTGTCTGGATGGTCTGAGGATTCTTGGCGCGAGCAGGAGATTGGACTAGAAGAGCAACAAGGTCCATTCCAACTCAATGATTTTATGATTCTTCCTCCCTTCTTATAATTATATACCATCTTCCCTCCAGGAGCTCAGGCCCCTTCCTCTTCCATTTTTATCCCCAGCAACAATTTTGTGGCGTAGGCTTGATAGCGATTGACCTAAAATCACCCTAAGAGCTTCCATGGCTGAGGACTTGAACTTGGATCCTTCTAGCCTTAGTCTAACTCAGTGTTTCTCAACCTTGGCAACTTTGAGATGTATGGACTTCAATTCTGGGGAATTCTGGGAGTTGAAGTCCACACACTTTAAAGTTGCCAAGGTTGAGAAACACCTTAACCAATCACACATGAGTGCTCACCCACAATCTGAAGTGACACAGTACAGACCCACAACTGTCATTCATAAGCATGGACTTAAAAAAGGGTGTTGTGGGAACTAATCATAGGTCATTGAAGATACCACCAAAAAAATGAACAACAAAATACTGAAAATAAGCAGCACCAATCCAGGGCCATTTTCAGTGGGAAATTAATGGACATGGATGTGTTAACCAGGTGAACACATATATAAAAATAAAACTCTCCCTTAGGCCTCAAAAAGATGGGGGCAGGAGAGAGAAAGGTTGAAAATGCTAGTTCACATGCACTTATGATATCATTGTAACTCATTCTTCACTCCCTTCAGCCCCCCACTGCCAAAAAAGAATAATAGTAAAAAAAAATGCAGCCTCTGAGCAAAACCCAATGTTTGTTCTTCTGTGTCTGGAAGAAGTATAGGCAACCTGTGGCTCACACATGATTCTTAGATCCATCCCACCAATACCTCCCAGGCCACACGAAGATCACAGTGCTGAAATTTAATGGCCGATTTTTAAAGATGAATTAGGATCACTTTTTAAATGGCAGAAACTACCAACAAACACCTGCCCTGGCACGGCCACAGATGTAGCCCTACGTCTGGTGACTTCTTTGTATTGCCAGATGATGTTCTACAGTCCTTAGAGGATTTGGAAAAAAGGTGGGTCCCCAGATTTTTATTTTTATTTTTACTTCTTTTCTCCTCCCATATAGTCTTACCAAGTTTGACTGAGGTCTGGTATCTCGGCTAGCAGTTCCTCCAGGCTAGCAGATAGAAAAAGGAAAAAGATGGGGAAAAATGGTGAGGAAGGAAACTGAGTTGTTGAAGAATACCTGTTGCACCCTAATTGTGTTAGAGTATCCCTTTGTAAACACTTCTCCCCACCCCATATACTCAGTGTGGAAGATAAAATTGGGATTGTCACCAAAAGCCCCTCCCTGGAGATTGCCATGTCCACAGATCCCACCACTCCTAAACAGAAATGCAGTGTCAAATGTGTATCACTGCTTGTGCCTACTCTTCTTCAAACATGGCACAAGCACATGGAATGAAGGAGCAAACTTCTCATGAACAATCTGGATTCCTCTCTGAAACACACCACAGTATGCCTCAAAACCACACTACCTAAAAAGCCACAGAGAGTATGGAGAGGCCAACATTGTTTTATTCTCCCAGGACCCATCCTTCTCTCTCTCCCTCTCTCTTTTTAAAACCAGATTTAGTTGAATATGACAATAGAATAGGCATGGAATCTAAGCAAATGTTGGGTATTAGTCAATGTGGTAATTTCCAAAAATCACCATGGAGTTTTCAAAAATAAATTGTGTCAAGCTGTTATTTGTGCCACATCTGTTATTTCTCTCTCTCTCTCTCTCTCTCTCTGTTGAATAACTTCCTTAATAAATTGTGGAATTGCTGTAGACATATCTTGACTTCAGCAAAGACTTGGATGAAGTACTCCCTGGCATTCCAATTTGTAAGTTGTCTCCCATCCAAGTATTGAGCAGGTCTGACTCTGCTTAGCCTTTCTGAGATTAGCCAAATTCAACGAGGTACCACCATCTGCTATAACAGTTATATATACCTAATGTGTGCCAAAGTATATAGGCCTTCCTCCTCCTCCTCCTGCTCCTCCTCCTGCTCCTCCTCCTCCTCTTTCTGGATAATGAGCTTTCAGCCAAGGGTCGTCCTAGTATTCCACCATCCTTTTTTGTTGTTTACTATCTTAGACAGTTGCACATCAACTAAGAAACATTAAAACCTCTGCCAATTTCAAAAACCTCCGTCAAACTTGCATAAGAGGAGCCAAGCAGCATTAAGTAATTTGGAGAATATACACTGTATATGTATGTGGATATGTGCCGGTGGGTGGGTGGGTGGGTGGATGGAGGGAGAGAGAGAGAGAGAGAGAGAGAGAGAGAGAGAGAGAGAGAGAGAG